ACCTCGCAAAGCCACAGCACATTGCAGCTGCATGCCGAGTCAACAAGTCGTTCTACGAGTTCGGTACTCCTAGGCTGTACGAGCGGGCTTCCATCTATTCGTGGCACAAGCGCGCCAAAACGACAGTGAGACTCCTGCAAGCCTTCTCTGACCTATAGGCTCACCTCTCAGGTCGTGTCTCTTTTCAACACTCTCGCGCACTACCCGCACCTTGCTAAATACATCCTCAAGCTCGGTCTGCGTCCCTGCTGCATTGCCGATCGTATTCTAAGATTCCACAGAGATCCGCGACTTCCCCAAGTCCATGGCCACAGACGACCTCGACGCACTAGTTTTGTCCGGCCTCAAAAACTGTGTGAACCTCAAGTCCTGCACCTGGACCCGCGACGGCGCGCTCAACTCCGCAATCCTGTCCGTGCTCCAAGCGTCGAATACCCTCGCGGAGCTCGAGATCAACGGCCACAGCGACGGTCATTATGACGCGAGGATTCTCGCAGACTTCTCGCATCTCCGGAAGTTATCACTGATCATGCCCAGTGCTGACGTTGTCGGCTAGCTGCCTTCCTGGATGATCCACACCGGCCCGACGCTGCGCAGCTTGACACTAATATGCAAGGTCAGTCGCCTGCATCATCTCAGGAATTCTATAAATTATGCGCAAATCAGATGTCCCCCCTCGTTACTGACAACGTTCTGGAGGCCCTTGCCCCGGGCCTAATGCACCTCGAGCAGTTTTCAATTACCGGGTGTCCACGCGTCAGCCACCTCGGAATCTGGGCTGTCGTCTCGCAGAACAGCACCGGCCTCCGCGCGCTCGGGCTCGAGGGCCTTTCCCAAAGATTTGTGCGTGAAGTCGCCGCCGTTGCAAAACACCCCCGCTCACCCGCGCCGCCAGAACCTCGCGGCGCTCGCCGCTCTCTGCGCTGAAGGCCCCGCGCTTGCGAGTCTCACTTCCCTCACCCTGAGCGTGCACACCGAAGCCTGGCTCACCAGCGTGTCTGTCCTCCTTGCAGGCGCGCCACTCGAAGTCTTCCAGATCTACGCGACCAGCGCGTTCGTGCAGACCACCGCAATGGAGGCGTTTTGGCGCAACCTCGTCACAGCGCACGGGCCTCGCCTCACTCGCTTCTCCGTGCACCGCATGCTTGTCAGCCTCCCCACCATCGAGGACGTCTGCATGCGCTGCCCCGCACTCACCCAGCTCTTCGTCGTCGTGGACCCCGGGGCACTGGTGCGTGCGCTGCCCGTGCCCACTCTCAGCTAATCGATTGCTCCCAGGGCCCCCTCGCCGGCTGTCTGTCCCGCGCGCGCCGGCTCGCCACCGTGCACGTCAACTTCCAGTACCGCCCGACGGACGACTGGCTCGCGGGCGAGGCGCCCAGCGTGCTCAAGGCGCCCGAGGCGCTCGCCATCGTGCGCCGCTGCCCCGAGACCATCGCGCTCTTTGGCTGCAACGCGCGCGTGTGGCAGGTCGAGCGGCAGATCCGGCGGAACGAGGACGGGGAGCTCGTCGCCGAGCGGTTCTTGGCGAAGTACGACAGCCCGGATATCCCCGAGCAGTTTTTGGTGGTTAGGACTTGACCGTGTTGTGGTTGGATCGTCGTTGACAGTGTCTTGCATGTAGGGCCGGGCGTAGCCGAACATACGGTAGCATTGGGCTGAAGACTGCAACATGCATGATGCTCTGTTCCCGAATGCCAATTGTTGAAGTTATTATTATACAGCAGAGAATCGGTGAAGATGGAATCAAACACATTTTTTGGGTGGCCAGAAAAGGAGCATCAAAGGCCGTGGCTGTCCGAAACCTCACATGTATCGAGGCCCGACTTGTCGACGATTCTGCTCCGCCGGAAACACGCTGCTTTCCGGCAGGATTGCCTGTTTCCCATCTTACATATACGACAGCCGCAACTCGACTGAGGTAAGGGGTACTGTGATCGATCTATTTCGCGCCTTCCTTGCGCTGCATAAATGCATTGAATGCAAGCTCGCAATTCTGATCGAAGTCTTCGTAACGCAAATCAAGCGAGACGTTTGAATCGGAAGAGGCGAAGTGAGCGAGGAGATAATGCGGCGCATTGTGCCTACGAGCCTATCACAGACGCAGCACCAATGGCCCAGGCTCGAGTGAAAGGAGCGCCTCCCGCTGAACACCTTTGTCCACTATATACTGACCACGGGTACGCACCCCGCGCCTCGGGGCCGCATTTGCTACGAAGTTGATTTGGTTGAGTTGAATAGATTCAACAATGAATGACAGACAGAAAAAAAGGTGGGCACAAGAATCCAAATGATGGCCCAGGCTCGAGTCGAACGAGCATCTTCTACTGAATTTTTCTCCTTGAAGATGATGAAGGCATGCGTGTGCGCACCATGCGCCTCTGGACCTACGAAATTTCAAATGACCTGGGCCAGATGCGGTTATGAAACAAGGAACAACAGGAATACGGTTCGTGCGCATGGCCCAAGCTCGAGTCGCCCTCTTCCCGAGGTTTCTCGCGTTTATGGAATGCGGCTGCGCACTCTGGCGGATCCCTGTACGCGACTAATCATCTCGGCGACTCACAATTAAATCCCCGACGCTCAATTGAGCCACGAAATCAAATGTTTTTTTTTTTTTGGAGCCTTGGGGATCTCGATCTCAGTGTGCAGAAGCATTCTAAGGTCTTACGCTTGTGTTACCGGGTATTAGCCAGTTTTTGCCGGGGAATATGTCCAAGGAGGAAATGCCATTACGCACAATTTTACAGTAGTGTGGGGCTCCGACCTAGAATTATCCTATACCATTTTGTTCAGTCAAGGACCGTATACCCACTAAAAACCCCTCTGTGAGTGTCCAGTCATCCGGCAGAGTGTCTTCAACCATCAACAGACCACTCCATGTATCCAAAATGAGTTGTTTGTTAAATGCGAGTGGTACATAAGCAATTTATTAGTCAAAATACGATCTCGATCCAAGGCCCCATTGATATTTTTCAGCCATTGATTATGTATGTTGGCCAGCGTGGTTTCATTGTCTGGATTTCTTATCACACAATTAACTCGGAGGTTCCAAATGAGATACCAGGCAGTAAAATGTCTTAAACCGCGATCTATCTTCTTCGGCGGTCATAATCAAATGCCCGATCTGGACTGCGTACCGGCACTATTAGTACAGATCTGCCTTGCTCGTTCTGGACCTCACCCTCCGTCCGATTAAGTATCGCGCCCACAAACCCATTCAAGCTCATAAACACACTCGGTGCGCTAAGCGCTTGCACTCATCCAGCAACCAAGACAAGTAGGGAGATCTTCATGGAGCAGGGATACTCGTTCCCTGTATGTAGACCGGACCAAGGAAATGTACATGTGGGAACGCTGGTGGTTCGAGTCCGCCCGGAGACACTAGGTGGATATCGGTTGCATTTTTTTAATGAGCCTGCAACCCCGGGTCATCCTAACCAAAATGCCCACACATAATAGGGGGGGGGGGGGGGATTTATTATACTCGCGTGGTCCACAACATGAACAACGAGTCTACAGAAGACAAACATGTAGTAATGTACGGGTGGTTATCCATACATAAAATCTACAAGATGTCAACGGAGCACAACACCATTCCAGGGGGTCGATTGTCACAAGACACTGGCTTACCGTGGACTGGCCGGCCTTGAAAAGGCAGGACCTCCGGTTAAAACCTCGTGGGACCTGACCTCACAGCAGAATATACTGGAGTATGGGAGGGGTTCTCCCCTCCCGGTAAAAATCCCCGGAGTCCACCAGTACACGAGAAGCTGTCGTGGATCTGTCCCTTTGCAGGTGCATGCAACAAGCACCAAGGTCTCCCTCCGAAGACGCTAAGTGTTGTGTCAGGACCATTCCCGAAAGAATAGTGCAGGAAGAAGACCCTTGCCGCAAGCGGTCATGGGATTTAAGGTGGGTGGGGAAGACCCTCCGAGAAAATAGCACAATGAGGAAATATAATTAAGAACTCAGCAGGGGAGTAGGGGGCACGAGCTCGAGAGCATGGGTGGCGAGGGTTCTATTGCCGATCCCGCTTATCGCACATGGGCGAGGGAGAGGCACGAGCTCGAGAGCATCGGCCATGACAATTCCGTCGCTTGTCCCGGTTATCACACACGGGCGAGGGAGGGGCGCGAGCTCGAGAGCATTGGCCACGACGGTTCCGTTCCCGCTTATCGCACAAGGGCGAGGGAGAGCTGCGAGTCTGCGACGGTCGAGGGAGCGCCAAGCCCGTGCGCGCCAAGAATGATTGGCGGTTGCACGTCAACCCGGGTAACGACCCGGGACCTCCGGTTGCGAGGGGAAGTGCCAGCGAGGCGCCGCTCGAGCTGGGGGGGCAGCCGCCCAAGAGTCCGCCCACAGGAAGGGGCCATCGTCAGCGGTCTCGCGGGTTGAGCCAAGCGCGGTCTTGGTCGTGACGGAAGGGGGGGCGACATCGGCACCCCCAGAGGGGCGCGAGAGGACGCGAAGGCCCGATGCGGAACGCGAAAAAGCCCCATTTTGAGCTCGACTGGCTGGATGACACGCTGCGACATCTTTAAGGTCCGCACTCTTCAGGTGCTGCGCGTTCCGGGACAGGAGGGGGAACACCAGCGACTGTGTATATCCAGCAGCCAAAATAAGAGGGAAGGTTTTCATGGAGCAAAGGCGCTCGTTCCCACTACATGGCAGAGAAAACACGCCGTTTGGGAAAGCTGGTGGTTCGACTCCACCTGAAGACACTTATCGAGATTCCATTTTTTTTCCGAGTCCGCAAGTACTCTCGCGGTTGCAGTCTTGTTCAAAATTTCCCTTCCCGCATACACGACAGTCGCACCCGCACCCAGGCCTACCAGGTCATCCGAACCAAAATTCCCAGAAATAATCGCACTCATCCAGCAAACAAGATAAGCTAGGAAGTCTTCGTAGAGCAGGACAGTCACTGTATATTGAGATACGAAGCCATCTCAACCAAAAAAATACTCTACACTCATCCAGCAACCAAATCAAGTTGGGAGGTCTTTGTGGAGCACGGGCGCTCGTTCCCTCTATGTGCACATTAGCCAGATATGTGGGAAAGCTGGTGGTTCAACTCCACCCGAAGACACTAGGCAAACATTGTCGTGCTTTTTTCGAATCCGCAAGTGCAACTCTTGACTCTGGCGAGCTTTCTTTCCCATATAATGTATATGCGAGAGCCGCAACTCCCCTTTTATGAATCCGCAAGTACTCTCCCGATATGCATCTCTGTCCCTCTTCCCACATGTACGACATCCGCACCTACGAAGCCATCTCAACCAAAATTCTGAGACAAATAATTGTACAATCATCCAGCAAGCGGGGAAGTCTTCGTGGAGCAAGGACGCTCGTTCCCTTTACATAGAAACAGGCAATACAAACATGTACATTTGGGAAAGCTGGTGGTTCGAGTCCACCCGAAGACATAAATTAAATGTTTCCTTTTTCCGAATCCGCAAGGGTAACTCGCGATCGGCTCGAGCTAGCTCTCGCTCTCCGCAGCCTTCTTGAATTTCCCCTTCCCACATATACGACATCCGCACCTACGAAGCCATCCCAACCAAAACTCGCAAACAAATAATCGGCACACCCATCCAGCAGCCAGAACAAGTAGGGGAGTCTTCGTGGAGCAGGGACGCTCGTTCCCACTACTGTATTATTACATTCAATTCGATCATCACACGTCACTCCCCCCTTGGTCGATGGCGAACTTTGGTGGTTTGTCACGCGTCACCCGCCGTGTAAATTCCGTCACGGCCCCTCGAAATCTGGTCAAAATCGTGTCCGCGACACGTCAAATTGAAATTTTTGGTACTGTCACGCCAAATTTTGGCTGCGGTCGAATGGTCGAATCGTTAATTTGGGTCACGCGTCACCCCCCCGGTCGAATTGAACGTAATTATACAGTACATAGAAGACCTACGCAGGTACATATGGGAAAGCTGGTGGTTCGACTCCACCCGAAGACACTTCGCGCAAACCGTCCTTCTTTTTCCGAGCCTGAAACCCCTCACGAATCTAATCCGCCCCAAGTTACTTGCTGCATAAACGCCTTATGACTACAAGCATTGTATTGGAAGTCCTCGTAAAGCACATCAACTCACTTTGCGCTGGCTGAGTTTTGAAACGAGAAATAATTGTGCACCCATCCAGCAGCGCAAACGAGCTGCGAAGTCCTTGTAGAGCAAGGACGCTCGTTCCCTGTATGTACTCACATTGCGAAAATGTACACGTCGGAAAGCCGGTGGTTCGACTCCACCCGAAGACACTGCACAAACGAAATTGGTTTTTTCTTTCTGAGTCCGTAAGTACTCTCGCGATCTGTAGCCTTGTCTTCCCCCTCCCACCTATATATACGAAAGCTGCAATTCTCCTGAGGATCGGTGGTACGAATCCCATCTCAACCAAAATCACAAGTACTAATCGGCACACCCATCCAGCAGCCCAAACAAGCTGGAAAGTCTTCGTGGAGCAAGGACACTCATTCCCTCTACATAACAGACCGATGCAACAGGCATGTACATGTGGGAATACTGGTGATTCGACTCCACCCGAAGACACTTTTCGAATGGCTTCTTTCTTTTTTTCGAGTCCACAGGTACTTCCACCACCTCAACCCAGATTCGCAAACAATGATTGTGCGCCCATCCAGCAACCAAAATAAGCCAGGAAAGTCTTCGTGGAGCAGAGATACTCGTTCCCTCTAAATACACCACCGCTGCAGGTACACGTGGGAAAGCTGGTGGTTCGACTCCACCCGAAGACATTGACGGGCTGCGTTCTTTTTTTTTTTTCAAATCCCCAAGTACTCCCACGATCTCAACCAAATTTCCAGCGAAGTACTCGCACTCATCCAGCAGCCCAAACTACCGGGGAAGTCTTCGTGGAGCAAGGACGCTCGTTCCCTGTATATCATTATGTGAAACCGGGCCACGTGAAATGTACATGTGGGAAAGCCGGTGGTTCGACTCCACCCGAAGACATTGATGGTTTGTAGTGCATGTTTTTTTTTCCAAATCCGTCTGCTTATAAGAGACGAGCCTAGGATCACTGGCAGAATTGGGAGCTTGCACTGACAACACATTTTGCAGCGCAAGGAAGGCGCTGAATAGATTGGTCAAAGCGACCCCGTACCTCAGTCGACGTGCGGCTGTCGTAAATGTGGGATGGGAAACAGGCAATCCAGAAAGCAGCATGTTTCCCGCAGAGCAGAGTCGTCGGCAAGTTGGCTCGGAGGTCTTCGTGGAGCAGGGACGTTCATTCCCTACATGTATATGTGATGTTTCTCCTCAAACATGTACACGCGGGAAAGCTGGTGGTTCGACTCCACCCGGAGGCACTAGCCAATTTCGTTTGTTCTTTTATTCCGAATCCTACTCTCGCGATGGAGACGGCCAGAACGGCCGACTCGCGGGACGACATGATGGATGCGGACAGAAAGTGGATGGATGACTAAACTGCTACGTGGGGATGCCTACTAGCTAGATCCTACCACTACAGTGATTTGAAGCCGTGTCTTCCCATCCCACATACACGAGAGCCGCAACTATACTGAGGTATGGGGTCGCTTTGTCCAAGCTATTCAGCGCCTTCCCTGCGCTGCATAAATGTGTTGTGGGTGCAAACTCGCAATTCTGATCGAACCTTTCGTAACGCAAATAACCTGACTTCGTGCTGGTGATGTTTAAATCGGAAGAGGCGAGGTGAGGGAGGAGATGCGGCGCATTATGCGTACGAGCCTATCCTCAAAAACATAGACACAGCACCAATGGCCCAGGCTCGAGTCGAACGAGCGCCTCCCGCTGAACACCTGTCTACTACACAGAGTATGGATGCGCACCCCGCGCCTCTGGGCCGCATTTGCTACGAAGTTGACTTGGGTGGGTCGGACAGGTTGAGAAATGACAAACAGACAAAAAAAGGTGGCCACAAGGATCCAAACAATTGCCTAGGCTCGAGTCGAACGAGCATCTTCTGCTGAATTCTTCTCCTTGAAGATGACCAACGCATGCGTGTTCGCACGATGCGCCTCTGGACCTTACTTCCTAGGAAATAACCTGGGCTAGGTGCGGTTAGGAAATAAGAAACAAATTTACAAAGGATACGGTTCGTGCGCATGGCCCAAGCTCGAGTCGTCCGCTTCCCGAGATCTTTCGCATTTGTGGGATGCGGCTGCGCACTCTCGCGGGCCCTCGGAGCTTGTCCCATCAGAGAGATGAGTTGATTCATAGAAGAGATACGAAGCTTGAGTCTCCATCCTCTGACTGTTTCGAATTATTGCATGTGATCATCGCAATCCCCCATTCAGCAACTAGCAGCCCAGATCTGCTTCCATTTAGGTATTGACCGGTATGCCTACCGACAGGGCGGAGTAGGGGGAAAATTCTACCTTATATGGTTGTGAAATGCTTAAATTTACTGTTTCTCTAAAACATTCAACCACTATATGAACACGGATGTGTGCTAACTGAGTAACTACCGTGCTTGCTGCTCAACAGACCGGCGAGAATCGAGGAACCGTATATGCGCTTTCGCGGACTCGAATGGCCGACCCGCGCGAAGGAAAGGAAATAATCGAGCCCGCTGCAACCCCCACGATAAAAGACAGCAACGACGTGTGTGCGACGCTCGAGGAACCGCGCATATGCGCGGTCGCGGGACCGCACGGGGCGGCGAAATGCGGTCAAGGAAAGAAATGAAATAATCGAGCCCGCGCCAATAGTCACGATAAAAGACCGCAACGAGGTCTGGCGACGAGCTCGAGAAACCGCGCGTTCGCAAGCTCGACTGGGACGAGTCGCGCGGAATGCGAACGAAGGAAAAGAAATCCCCGTGACAAAAGACAGGGGAAAAGACGACAACGACGTGTGCGCGACACTCGAGGAACCGCGCATATATGCGCTTTCATGAGGCCGGAGGGACGTGCCGCGCGAAATACGACACGGGCGACAGAAATGAAAATAATCGAGCCCGCGCCAATCGTCACGATAACAGACCGCAACGACGTCTTGCGACGAGCTCGAGAAACCGCGCGTTCGCAAGCTCGACTGGGCCGAGACGCGCGAAATGCGAGCGAAGGAACGGAAATCCCCGCGATAAAGACGAAGGCGGACAACGGCGTGCGGCGACGCTCGAGAAACCGCGCATATATGCGCGTGCGCGGGACCGGCGAAATAAGGTCAACGGAAAAAAAGAAAATCCGAGCCCGCCACGACACGGAAGTGAAGGCCGCGACGAACAAGCGGGCGCGTCCGATCCAGTGCCCATTCGAGAACTGTGCACGCGCGCGCGCGCGGGAAGCAGCACGGTGCGCAAATACGAAATTCGGCCCCTAGGCATTCCTGTCGGTTCGCGCGGTGGGGCACGGAAGCGCGCATATAGGCATATGCACGCACGCGTATATACCCAGAGCGCTGTGCATATACGCAGCACGCAGCACGCCGCGCACGTATCGCATATCGCGCGCGCGCCACAATAAGCGCGGCGCCACTCGGATTGCCGTTAGCGCCGTGAAAATTTGGGATGGCGAGCGCGGCTGCGGTAACCACAGCGCAGTCTGGTAACCCCCACCCAGGTGAGCAATGTGTCGCCGGCTTCACTTTATTTGTCTGAATTTGTTTAGCTGTGGGATGAAATCTTGGAAATACACCCGCGCCCTTCGTTCACTCGGAAGGTAATTTATGCCTTGTGGGCGGAGATCAACTCTTCCGAGTGGAAACGCGACCCAGACGAACTCAAATCGGCAAATATACTTCTGGATGAGTTCAGCCGCTCCGAACCGGATCCCATTACTGGCAAGAAGCCGCTGTACAGTGTCGAACAGATTCCACTTACGGACGAACCTGGATTCACCGCCATAGCATTTGCGCTTCCACAACTTCTCCGAGAGGTGGGTGGGCGCGTTCGTGAGCTCTCTCTGGATTCTGCCTGTAAGTGGTTTTGAATTTCGAAGTAACCGTGCTTAATTTTGATAAGGGGATACCAACGGCTCGCGTTACGAAGTTTACGCACTCCTCGGAGAGGTTTACGGTTCTGGGATGCCTCTGGGGTATCTTCTTGTGCAGTCGTCGACCAATGGTGCAGCTGGTGCCAAAGAGCGATTTATTCGACAGCTACTTCGACACTTCCGAGAAGTCTGGAAGGTCCGCGCAATTCTTACGCTCACGGACAAAGATTGGTCCGAAATAAACACATTTCTGGCTGAATATCCGGATGCGAAGCACCAACTTTGCTTCTGGTATGCGCTTCGGGCGATCAAGAAGCGTCTTGCAATTCTCCGCCGAGGCCCAGCCCACTACAATGTTGGTCTCGCATACGCCGAGTTTGATTGGATCGACCCCACTTTTGTGCCGCTCGCGCAAGCACAAGAACTCCGGCCCGTGCGACCATTTAATTCTCCCTAATTGCACAATCTTACTCATTTAATTGCAGGATCAGGCATATGTTGCAACAGCCGCTCTCCCTCATCTCAAAGTCCGATTCCAGGATATACCGGTCTCTACTGCGCCGAAGAAACCATCCGAGACTCCCTCCCTCACCCTTCGTCTCAACGGTGTTGTGCGCGCCGTAATTCCTCGCCAACAGCGCACGGACAATAAAGGGGCCACAGAAACACAGAGCGAGCCAACTCCCGAAACCAATGTCACGGACAGCGAGCCAGGCGATCTTCTCGCCGATGTCGAACGTTTTTTGGCGAATGATAACGATGAGGAGGAAGATGGGCCCGATTGGATGTTCGAGGAGGGCGAGAAGTGTTCCGCTGACCCGGGATACGTGTTCTGCCCCTCACCACATCGAAAATTCCTCCTCCGGCTATTCACGAACCATTTCTGTCACCACCCACTTTTTCCAGGGAAAGATGGCCCGCAATCCGCCGCAGATATACGACGAGAAGCGGTCCACGAGATGTATCAATTCTGCCACATCCGCGGATTGCGGGAGGTCTGGGGTTACTTCTGGACATCGTGGTACTCACCGAAGATGTGGAAATTGTGGGCGCGCTCGAGCTCCCCTTACGTCTCTCGCCTCCGGACGACGATGAATGTCGAAAACTTCTGGAAGCAACTGAAGCATGGATTTCTACACAATCAGCTTCTTCCGCGGCTGGACCAACTCGTCTGGATCCTGGTCACCAAGGTCACGCCTGCGTACCTTGCTCGTGCACAAGTCCTGGATGATGGGCACCAGATGGGCCGATCCAAGGCTCTATCCCCGTTTAGGAAACAATTCAAGGCATTTTGGATTGCGCTTTCCAAGGTACCGATCAGTGTTGACGCCGACAAGAAATACATTACTCGGATCGATACCTGGAGCTGTACTTGCGAGAGCCTCAAGTTCCATTCCTGCCACATCTGCAAACATCTTGTGCAAGGGGTACCACCCCCTCCTCCGCGCTTCTGGGGAGAGGTCATTCGCAGACGTACACTGCCCCTGTATCGTCATCCTGCTTTAATCCCGATTGGCGGGGAAAGCACGGCTTACCTTGAGACTGTGGATGGGAGTATTACGGACGGCGACGACCACGGTTGGTATGGGAATCCGGAAATGCTCGAAGGAGGGGGTGGATGGAGAGGCCTAGACTTCACGACGCCGAGCCTACTTGGTAAGCGTGCGCGATCCCCGGATGCTGACTCGGACGACATGGCAGACATGGAAGAAGCCCAACGAGCCCTTGAAATTTTCCCCTCTTTTGACAGCCACGACAGTGATGATGAAGAGGAAGTAAGTCCGTGACTCCCATTATTTATTCCGCACCCTGACAGCCTGCTTTCTACACGTCCAAAGCAATGCAGAATACCTTCTGCGACGAGCAGACGAATTTATTAGGGCCGCGGAAATCCTCCGAGCTCAAGTCCCGCACAAGAACCGAATTTGGATGTCAAGCATTGTCAAGCGCGACATCGGGCGCGACGTCAGCTTGATGGTGGCTGACATCAACAGGCATGAGCATACTGTACCGCCGTGTATGGAGGCAACTGCCAGGGAGGCGTTACGCCGGCCAATTTGGGAAAGTTAGCAACCGGGCCTGCGTTAGGCGTTACGGGTGTCAAATTAGGCAACTTTCGGCCGGCCACCGCTACCCAGCCACAGTTCGGGTCTCCTGCTTGACTTGCGTTATAAAAGATGCCCTCGGTCTCGACATTCCCACTGCTAATCTACCCAGAACCGACATCTTCTGTGTCTCGTCTGGTGCAGTGCAGCAGGCCAAAGGTGTGCTACAGGGTGGTGGAGATCCTGAAAACATATGGGCGTACAGCGATAATGGTACACCGTGGAGCACAGGAAATTTGGTCGGGGAGCCCTCGGCTGCGCTGTAGATAGCAAACTGTGATTTTTTGGTGTTTTTTGGCGCCGTTTTTACGGAGAAAAAAATGATTTTTTATTCCTGATTTTTCTTAGCAACTAGCCCTCCGTTACGCGTTACGCCGGGGAAATTAGGCAACTTTTGGGGCCTCCGTTATGCGTTACGGTTGCCTCCATACACGGCGGTACAGTACGGCACAAAAGCGTGATAATACTTGGCCCAAAAAGGGGGACAAGGAAGGGGCTCGTCATTCACAGAATACAATGGGCTACCAGGTGGCCGATTAAATAGCACCTGAATTATGGCATCCGGTCATTTTAGCACTGTTTAGAAGAAATTTCGTAAGGTGGGTCAAGACAGAGGAGGCGACCATCATTGAAGCGGTCGAGGAGACTTCGAGGAGGGAGGCGTCGAGGTAAAAAGTGGCGCGGAGCTTGATTAGTCAAAATGAAGATAGATAAATGCGCTGGTCCGGGTTTGAACTAAGGACCTTTTATGATAGGCACGATGAAATCTAAGAATAGCGATGATACCTCTTAACTAAAGGGCTTAAGAGAAGGGGGAAACACGTCGTATCCTACCAGATGGCACACATGCCGTGTAAAAAATACCTTATATTCATTAAAGCTGACCAAAAGCTGATTTATATTCATTAAAACTGACTGGAGGGAGCTTCAATGTATCCTTAATCTCTGGGGGTGAGGATGTAGTGAATTTATGATGTACCAGGGTGTAAAACGCGCTGTTGAACACGAGGGTACCCTGGATTACCGTATTGGGCACGGGGCACGTGCCCGTGAAAATGTGCTGGGTCAATTGCACTGACTATCGAGCAACGTCACAAAACATCAAATCAGCAAACACAGCCATCGCTCCAGCCTTCCCACGCACGGGCCAGGTGCGTTTGTCAGCTTCTCCACACTGGATCTTCCTGGACATTTGAGCCGTCGACTGGCGACGTTTTGCTTCTGCGCCGATGTTTATCTTTTATCTCCACGACTTACAATTGAATCCGTCGATCCGAGATCCCGACGCTCAATTGCCTTCGTGGCGGTGTCCAGCCACGACTCGGAAATCAAATGTCTTGAACCGCGATCCATCTTCTTTGGCAGCCATAATTAGATGCCCGATCTGGACTGCGTACTCACTATGGCCTTTTGCGTTGATTTCGTGTTGGTCTGGACCTCACCTCGGAGTCACCACATCCGCCTCCCGTCCGATCAGCGCGCCCACATGTGACAAACCCATTCAAGTTCAAAGATACAAGATACTCGGTGCACTCATCCAGCAGTGCAGACAAGCTGAGAAGTCTTCGTGGAGCAAGGCCGCTCGTTCCCTCTTTGTGTACAATCATCCAAATCTACATATGGGAAAGCTGGTGGTTCGACTCCACCCGAAGACACTAAGTGTCGGTTATGTATATCTTTTTGCCGAAGCCAAGTGCAACTCCTGACTCTGGTGATGCATGCTTTCCTTCCCACATATATCCCTTTTACGAATCCGCAAGTGCTCTCGCGATCTGAATCTCTGTCCCTCTTCCCATATATACCACAGCCGCACCTAAAAACGCCATCCTAACCAAAATGCCCACAAATAATCGCAATATATCCACCAGCCAAAATAAGCCAAGATGTCTTCGTGGAGCAAGGATGCTCAATCCCTCTATATAACATGTTTTGCAAATGAGTGTGGGATAGTCGGTGGTTCAACTCCACCCGAAGACACTATGTAATCGAAACCGTTGTTCTTTTTTTTTTGAATCCGCAAGTACTGCCAAGATTCACAAATAATCATGCACCTATCCATCAGCGCAAACAAGCTGGCAAGTGTTCGTGGAGCAAGGCAGCTCATTCCCTGTATGTGATCCTTCCTACGTAGATATTTGGAAAAGCTGGTGGTTCGATTCCACCCGAAGACATTGACGGGCCGTGCTTTTTTTTCTTCGAATCTGCAACTACGCCCGCAATCTGCCGCCTTGCTTCAATTTCCCATCTGTGCGACATCTGCACCTGCGAGGTCAGTTGAACCAACATTATAACCGGTGCATTACCAGGCAGCCATCCCAACCAAAATTCGCAAATGCTATAACCAGCATCGCGAACAAATCGGGAAGGTATTCGTGGAGCAAGGATTCTCATTCCCTCCGCATGGATCAAGACAGGCATGTGCACGTGGGAAAGCTGGTGGTTCGACTCCACCCGAAGACATTGATGGTTTATAGGATGTTTTTTTTTTTACGAATCCACAGGTAGTACTCCCACGATTTCAACTAAACTTCACAAGAAATAATCGGCACTGCACCCATCCAACAGCCCAAACAAGCTGACAGGTCTTCATGGAGCAAGGATACTTGTTCCCTCTACATTAGGCGAGACCAGATATACATGTGGGAAAGCTGGTGGTTCGACTCCACCCGAATCCTGCTCTTTTTATGAATATAATCCATGCCAAGTTCATACATTATGAGTGCAAGCTCGCAATTCTGATCTAGGTCTTCGGACTGCAAATCAACTCACTTCGTGCTGGCGGAGTTTTGAAACATGAAATAATCGGTGCACCCGTCTATGCCGCATGACCAGGAGGACAGGGAGAATACCGCATACAGGCCTGCACGATGGCGTCACAGGTGATCATTTACTTCTCTGGATCGGCCTGGGTTGGCAAGAGCATTTGTAGGTGATGCAAGGGACGCTTTACGAGGTCTCGAGCATGGTCGCGCGTGGACGCAGAGGTCCTTTGCGCGAGGGGGAATGTTGAGGAGGTGATCCCAGGCCGGAGGATCCGGAGTATTTAGTCATTTGTTTGTCGTCGAATACAGGAGTTCCGCTGCTTGTTTCATACCACGATGGCGCACCGGGCGCTTCGACTTCAACAGGATGAATTTTGGATTCACGGCAGATTTATAGCCAAATTGTGGTAGTATATGCATGTCTACATATGTATACTACAGTCTAAGCTGTCTTGACCCATACCCCTCGGTAGATGCCCGAGGGTATGGGCTACTACAGTGTATGGGATTCTACAGCCATGGGAAAGTCTTCGGCAAAAGCCGAGAATAGCCGGACAACTACGGCTGAGCTACAATAATTTTGCCAATCTGATCAAGAATCTGATACAATGATAGTTGAATGCCTGGGACTCCTTGTGCGACCTTTTCCCAGTGCTGAACATATTTCTCACCACCAAGAATGAGGTATCCTATGTTCAACAGTGGTTGATGGGGTTAATTCTGGTGCAAATGTCATTGATAAAGGTGCAATGTGTGTTTTGAAGGTGATTTATCGACAATTTACTTCCAGATAGTACAGAATAACACATGAGATATACCGAAAATACATCAAAAGTATGGGGTTTTGCTCTCTAAAAAATATGGATTATGGAGTATCACAGAGTTATGGCTTTTTTAGTGGGAACCACCTTGGTGGATGCCAAAATGTATGGGGTTTTACAGATTATGGGTCATGGGAGCTATGGGAAGACAGCTTAGACTGTATATGCCGCCAGAAACCTGGAAAGCCAGGCATCTTAAGTGTGGAACGAGCACTCAATGTTGTGGATCGGAGCAAAACTGATCAAGTTCTTGGGTGTTCTTGTTTTACTTATCAAGGAAATCATGAGATTGGTGTCCGGACCGTCCATCAGCGGCGGCTAACTTTAGATCGCTTAGCCGGAATTTCCCGAAGCTTGGTACAAACCGACATGTGAGGTCCCTTTACATGTTCCAAGTATGAAATTTGGGATATGACCATGTGCTTCAGGGATATAAGCCAAATGCCCAGCTTCCCCGTCTGCCCAGCTAGGTGACAGTATATAGTACCTTGGTCTACGTGACACTACATGTGGCTACCCAAGGTAGACACAGGTTGCATGCACCAAACACAATGCAAATTGCAAACAAAGGAGCTCCGGTAGATAGCTTGTCAAACCGTGGAGTAGGGTACCAAAACAGCAGGACTTCAGAACGGACACAAGCAGAGCCATAGGGGAGCGAGAGGAGCGCCCGAGAGAATAATGGTGACGATGGTAGCAAATACTTGCGATCATTGCAGTGGACGGGCTAGTATCCAAGGAATTTCGGACTGGCGATCTTAATTAGAGCGAAAGTACAATGATTTAAGCCTGCCACCCAGCTATCGCGAATCATATCGTGTGAAGACCCAGCACTGCAGTCGTTGAAGGCAAAGTTGAGAGAACTTAGAAGAGATGCTAGCGAAATCATCAAGCCCCCAGAAGCATGGAAGGAACCAGGTTGGAAGCTTCACACCCAGACGACGACACTAGATGTTTGAATGGGACATGATCTAGTGTTTGGTCGAGGCAACGATGAAAGAGGCCAGCTAAACGCCAGCCATAATGACGGTGAGAAGGAACGAGCCGATGTGGTCTGTGTGTGGGATGATGGCCACGTCGCGGCGTGTCGGACCTCTCGGCACGCACACTAGTTCACACCCGAACACCGTGCCTCATGACCAGATACTCCTTCCCCTTGTCTCGCTCCTGCCTCTACTCAACACTCAACTCTTGCCTCCAGCTTCTTCCTCTGGGTCTCCCGCCCGCAATCTTCGCTCTGCTGCGGTGCGCACATTTGCGGCATTCAATTCCATTCATTTGGTGCACAGCGGACTCGCAGGCCCTCGAAAATTGCGGGTCGATAAGCCCGCCTGCGGACGGTGCATTCCCATGGAGGGAGAGAGCATCGGCATCCGAGGCAGGTCTCCCACCGGTGCGACCCATGCTCTGTCACCCTTTCCACTCCTTCCATCGAAGACCTGGGTCTTGCCGTCAAGATCAAGCCAGTCACCTCCACCACGTCGATCTGCATACACCACCGCCTCTGCTCTTCAAAATCTCGTCCTGGGTCTGCCACACTGGCTCCATCTCTCAACCGCCCAGGCCTGAGCAATCTCCCACCGCTTTGTCCAAATGCCTCTGCACGTACATTCCTTGCCCCCAATGTTGTGCTGAAAATTCCCTAGCAGAGGCTCTATCTGTAGAAATTTGGTGGTATGAACCGAGGGGGCAGAAGAATAAAATGGTTAAAGGTATTATTATTCCCCAGATATACTATGGCTTTTATACCCTAGAGAACAATGTAAAATAAAAACATAAATAGAGACATTGAACAATGAAGTGTACAATGTTTCAGACCAGCTGAGATGTGTTTCACGACATTGCTGTGCATCTCCATGCCAGCTTCCCAACCGCCACGTAGGCACACATATGCACAATGTGTCGGCTTGGTATTATTCCAACTATCGCTATCTTATCACTGCCACTTTATTGAGAACATCGGTCTCGTTCCCACCCAGCCCCCGGCCACATTCACCCAGGTTTCCGCTGAGACCGTGACGGACCGTTGTGCGTCTGCTCACTCCCTTCTCCATTTCCCCCGTAATTGATCCCTAGGCACTATGATATGTGCCTACACCCATCGCTTTAAACCCACCCAATGCTTCTCATTCGCCACACACCTTAACAGATGCTACTCGCACCTCCCTCTCGCCCCACTCACAATCCCAATCTGTAAGAGAAATGAGGTTTACGGAAGTGTGCGATGGGAATTGCACAAATGTAATACCTTGAGAATGAATATATTTGAGTTCAGGAACCCCTATATAATCAGTCAACCGATACGTGGGTAACTTGAATGATAGCTTCACCAAGTTAAAGACCAAATCTAAGTCGTACTTCAAGTCTAGCAACCTGAAAGCAAGGAATAGATGGGAAGCTCTAATTATACTGCAAGGTCTAGCAACGTCACAGCAGAAGCAAAGCAATTCTAATTGTACTACAAGGTCTAGCAACGATGCAGCAGAAGTAGGGTGTATTGTAAGGTCTAGCAACGTTACAGTGGAAAGTAGGAAATCAAGTGAGGCTTGGCGTCACTGAAAGGGAGCTGGCTGCTCGGAGATCACACAGATGTGCGGTTCAGATAGGTGTATTGGCAAAGTAAGATTGGATGTCTACAGAGAGGAAGACACTCCTCTTATATACTACTAACTACTGACTGAGTCATAATTAAATGACTCACTGTGACTCAGACTGACTCCAATGACACTGCAATGCACTGGAAATGCGGGAGTGAGTCACGAGGCAGTGTTCAACCGTGAGAAATAAATACTAAATACGAGGCATGTAGGCTGAAACACGAGGTAAATAATTGCCTATCTACCCAAAAGTGCCAATATCCATCACACAATCCCTCCGACCTCTTCCGTTCCGCCTCCCGCATCGCGGACTTCGGAAGCTCGGAAGGCACTGGGGCACGGAGTTTCCTCGTCCTGGTGATACCTTCAATGCACGATACCTTTCTCTCTCAGGTTTTGTCCATTTGACTTAATTTCTTTGTATACTCCTCCGGAGACCAGTTACTCTATGTTGAGCTGGTTACAAGTCTATTCCAGTAAGTACTAATATACTCATCCATGTCTCCATAGTCCCTACCCTACGATGACTGAGGAGTGTTTTATTCATCACGATCTATAGCACAAACAAAACAGGAGTGGAGTCAAAGAAAATTTGACCTCGAACCTGCAAGCACCAAGGGACTGAAGTTCCGCCCGGAACATAGGTATTCACAGACGAGACTCCCACTCATTTTCAACAACCTGTTCCACATGATGCTCCCAAAAATAAATCAAATCTCAGCTCACCTCGGTTCAAATAAATTACAACTTTCTGTCAAATACTACTACTACCATGATGGTAAGGAATACAGACAAAG